TTGCATGGGATGATTTTCACATTTCATGAGGTAATTGCCGGACATTCTATCCATTCTATGAGCATTTCCTTGACTCATTCTTTCCCTTCAGAAGACCACTAGGTAGGTAATTCACGAAGAAAGAAGAAATATGCTTGAATGAACGAGTGAATGATTGAATGGTTGCTTTTTCATATATTATTCATTTGTTTGACTTAATGCTGTTAATGCTTTGATCGTCTTATCTTTCACCGACCTGTTTACATTGAAAGCTCGAAAGTTAAATACTTACTAAAAATTGTTGTAGTCATTCAACGGGCTCATCAATTATCATTCATTCATTGTTGTTATAATTTTGACTTTATTACTATATCTGTATCTGTCTATCTATCTATCTATCTTGCCATTCATTCGCCTATCAAATCAAATCACCTCATTCGTTGGCGGCGCAGTGCAGAAATGTTGATCGGCAAAAGAGCCAAAGTAGCATGTGGTGCCGCCCGCGTCTATCCTCACAATGTGTACATGTTACCTTCTTTGAATTGCCTCACTCTTACCAATTCTTCGTCAATTCTTAGATCAAGAGCTTCTCTTCCGACTCAACATCGAGCACTGTTGAGTTCTTTAACCCCTTCAGCTTCATTTGCCCAAGCTGCCCAACAGGTACTCCAATTGCAGGGTCAGCCATTCCGCTCAACTTTTTCATCCCCCACAAGGGTCTCATCCATATCCCCCTTCACCCCGCAAAGCAGTACTACCAGACAATTCTCAAGTACGCCAGCGACAATGACAGCCACCAAGATCGACGGCACTGCCATTGCGAAGAAGATTCGTGAGAAGATTCATGCTGAAATCGGCGATGCCCAAAAGACAAACCCAAGATTTAAGCCCTCATTGAAGATTATCCAAGGTAAATTCCCGCAAGACATTGCTAGAAATGTTCGATAAGCAGTTTATGCTAATATAATTTTTCACAGTGGGTGATCGCTCTGACTCAAGTACGTATCTGTGATTGAATACTGTCAAAAATGACTCACTGATGGTGGCACAGCTACCTATGTTCGCATGAAGTTAAAGGCCGCACAAGAGGTTAGTTACCATTTCTCATCATTTCCGGAGCAGATACTGATTCATGGGTAACTAGGCAGCGATCGAGTGCGAACTTATCCCATTTCCTGAGAGCGCAACTGAAGCCGAGGTTCTTGACAAAATCGAGCAATTGAACAATGATCCATCCGTTCATGGTATTCTTGTCCAATTACCAGTCCCAAAGCACATGTCCGAATACAGCGTAACTTCCGCTGTATCTGATGAGAAGGATGTAGACGGTTTTGGAGCATCGAACATTGGTGAACTTGCGAAGCGTGGAGGACGTCCTCTTTTTACACCATGTACGCCAAAAGGTGTTATGGTCTTGCTCGAAGAGAGTGGAGTTGATTTAAAGGGCAAGAATGCGGTCGTTCTTGGACGTAGCGATATCGTGGGAAGCCCTGCCAGTTACCTCCTTAAGAATGCCGATGCTACTGTGACAGTATGCCATTCCAGAACCCAAAATCTTGAGCAATTCATCAAGAATGCCGATGTTGTTGTTGCAGCCATCGGAAAGGCCAACTTCGTCAAAGGAGAGTGGTTGAAGCCAGGTGCAGTGGTAATTGATGTCGGTACCAACTTTATTCCTGACGAGACCAAAAAATCTGGTCAGAGACTTGTTGGTGATGTCGACTTTGAATCCGCTTCCGAAGTTGCATCTCAAATCACACCAGTACCCGGTGGAGTGGGACCAATGACTATCGCAATGTTATTGCAAAACGTTGTTGAATCCGCAACAGCTTATTTCGAACGTCAAAAGGCCAGAGCTATCAAGCCTTTGCCATTGAAACTTCAAACCCCAGTGCCATCAGACATTGCTATCTCGAGAGCTCAACACCCAAAGCATATCACACGTGTAGCACAAGAGATCGGCATTGCTGGTTACGAACTTGAACCTTATGGAGCATACAAAGGTAAAGTCGATTTGAGCCTTCTCAAACGTCTTGAGCACCGCCGCAACGGACGTTATGTCGTCGTCACTGGTATTACTCCAACACCACTTGGCGAGGGTAAATCTACGACTACTATGGGTCTCACTCAAGCTATTGCCGGTCATCTTGATCGCATTGCTTTCGCTAATGTTCGTCAACCAAGTCAAGGACCAACCTTTGGCATCAAGGGAGGTGCTGCGGGTGGTGGATACAGTCAAGTCATTCCTATGGATGAATTCAACCTCCATTTGACTGGTGATATTCACGCAATCACAGCTGCAAACAACTTGTTAGCTGCGGCTATTGAGACCAGAATGTTCCACGAAAATACCCAAAAGGACGGCCCACTTTACAAGCGTCTCGTTCCAGCAAAGAAGGGCAAGCGTGAATTCCAACCTATCATGTTCCGTAGACTTAAGAAGCTTGGTATCACTAAAACCAACCCCGACGAGCTTACCGAGGACGAGATTCATCGTTTCGCAAGATTAGATATTGATCCCTCGACAATCACCTGGAGACGTGTTCTTGATGTTAATGATCGTCATTTGAGAGGTATCACCGTCGGTACCGCTGGTACCGAGAAGGGACAAACTAGAGAAACTGGATTTGATATCTCTGTCGCTAGTGAGTGTATGGCTATTCTTGCGCTCAGTAACGACTTGAACGACATGAGAGAAAGACTTGGTCGCATGGTCATTGGATCATCCAGAAATGGTGATCCTGTTACTTGTGATGATCTTGGTGCAGGTGGTGCTTTGACAGCATTGATGAAGGATGCTATTAAGCCAAACTTGATGCAAACATTGGAAGGGACACCTGTTTTCGTCCATGCCGGACCATTCGCAAACATTAGTATCGGTGCTAGCTCAGTCCTTGCGGATAAGCTTGCTCTTAAGCTCGCTGGTACTGAGCCTGACGAGAATCACAACGAGAAGGCTGGTTTTGTTATCACTGAAGCAGGCTTCGATTTCACCATGGGAGGAGAACGTTTCTTCAACATCAAGTGTAGATCATCAGGACTCATTCCAGATGTTGTCGTCGTTGTTGCAACTGTTCGAGCACTCAAGGTTCACGGTGGTGGCCCACCAATCGCTCCAGGTGCCGCACTCCACCAAATCTACAGAGAGGAGAATGTTGAGATTCTCCGCAAAGGTTGCGTCAACCTCAAGAAGCACATCTCTAATGCCAGATCCTACGGTGTACCAGTCGTTGTCGCTATCAACAAGTTTGAGACTGACACTGACGCCGAGATTGAGGTTATCCGAGAGGAGGCTATCGCTGCCGGTGCCGAAGACGCTATCCCAGCTAATCACTGGGCCGAAGGTGGTAAGGGAGCTGTTGACCTTGCCAAGGGTGTTATCGCTGCAAGTGAAAAGGAGAAGAATTTCAAGCTTCTTTACAGCCTTGACGGAGATGTCCAGACCCGCATTGAAGCCATCGGTAAAGAGATGTATGGAGCTGACAAGGTCGAGTTCAGTGAGATTGCTCAAAAGAAGGTTGATACATACACCAAGCAAGGTTTTGGAAACTTGCCAATCTGTATTGCAAAGACTCAATACTCTTTGTCGCATGACCCAGATCTTAAGGGTGCACCGACCGGATTCACTGTTCCAATTAGGGATGTGAGATTGGCTGCTGGAGCTGGTTACCTGTAAGTTTTTTTGCGTGATGATTCTATTGCTTTCTCTAATATGATTCTAGGTATGCACTTGCAGCAGATATCCAAACCATTCCTGGTCTTCCTACCGCACCAGGATATCTCAATGTCGATGTCGACACTGAGACTGGAGAAATTGATGGTCTCTTTTAAGAATATATTCTCACATTTTTGGTTTTGTATTTCGATTAGCGTTTCAACAAGTTAGTTTATATGAGGGCGGTAAAAACACATTCAACGTGTTAGGGTTGCATTTTCAACAAAAGGCGTTTATAGATATACGACTGGCTGATAAAAAGCTATATAGTGTGTAGAGATATCCTTCATGATTAACTCATGATACAAATGAAATTTACGATGTTTGAATTTTGCATTGCTATCTTTCCTGCTTTTCGCTATACGTGTGATGTGATGCTAGTTTGTAGTGATAGCGGCTGCTTAAGTTGTCACTATTTGGGCTCGCTTAAGTATACAGACCTAATGCACAGGATAGATCCTCAGTATCAAATAGTAGATGCTCGAGCATGTGTACAGAAAATGAATGAAACCAGCTTCGGTGTCGTGGTTATAGTATAGCACTTGAGCTAGAAGAAGGGTCGTGGATTTCAGTATTATATGCATCAATACTTACATATGGTCTGGTGTTTGAATTTTCACGTTAGGTTTTACATTTTAGGTTTTCAGACCGAGAACATTCTTAATCTAATCGTCGCTTTTTCGATAGAGTGTAGTAACTCTCACAGTAGATTGCTGTGAAGATTGGTGCATTAGGTGGTGAATACTTTATAATTGTAGGGTTTAAATTTCAGGTTTTAATGGGCCATTTTGAAATATGGAAATACGCAATTGTTAAAGTTATGTTCAAAATGGATCTTTGAGTTTTCGAAAGGAGAGTCTGGTTTTACAAGGGTGGTTGGGGGTTTAGCGAAGGTTTTTTTGTGTGGATGGATGTTTGTAGAGGTCTGCAGTTTGTGTCACTGAATGGATGGGGAAATCTTGGATTGGGTAGAGAATTTTGGGGGCGAAGTTTGGAGAGATGCGTTCTGAATAAAGTAACTTTCAATCTAGTAGTAGCTTTTTGCTTATGCGGAATTGCATGAGATGGCAAATTCTGGCACGGATATCGTACCTCATATCAGAAAGTGAAAGTAGAAGCATAGTCTTCCTTGAAAGACATGTTTTCACTTCTTTCCTGCATTCGCAGTAGTCTTCTTCTCACAAGTAAACTTATGTAACTTCCACCCCTTTCTCTGATGTTCAACTCCACAATACCAAATCTTCTTGTTCCCTTTCTTACACTCGGCACATGCACTCAGCTTTCCTCCCACACCACAATAATCACATCAGCCTGCTTTTTCTCGATCGATCCAGCGATTCCATGCCCTCTTTGCACATTTTCTCATCAATTCTGTATGCTGATTCTCCGAAATCCATGATGCTCCGATTCCTAATTCCTCCATATCATCACAGATAATATCCATGGCATCCTGCCAATCTCCTCCCTTGCCAAGAAAATAAGGCTTACCGAACATTCCTCGCTTGCCCCATTGCATACGCGTCATATCTACCACGAAAAAGTCATCCAAGTTTACTATCTGACCTACACTCGTTCCTGGTTTAGGAAACCCCAGGGTAGAATGGAAGCCCTCGTTTTCTCCTCCGGTAATATATGTCGCACCGCCATTCCTCAACTGTAAAGATTGGACACTCATGAGCTTGGGACCGGTCAATTTGAATTCTATGATGGAGCGTGGAAAGGGATCGACGAGAATTGCTTCTTCGTTTTTGATCTGGATGGATAGTTGTTGATCTGAGGAACAGAAAGAGAAAAATTCTTGAAAGAGCATTAGGGCTTTGTAGCAGCCGTCGTGGCTTCGAGATTCGTAGAAGATGTCTTCGAGTTGAGTGGAGGAAAGTGGACGGGTTGCTAGATCGCATGAAGGATGAATAGTGCAGGTAGCTAGAGTGGTGGAAGTTTCTAGAGTTAGATCTTGAGTAGAATCGGGAGTAGAAGTATCGTAGTGGAAAGTGTGGACATTGATTTTCTGAATGCTTGCGGGACGCTTTCTGATAAGCGCGTTTCCTTCCAGACGAAGAAGTAGGGTTTGGTCTGCGATGGTGCTGCTGTGGAGACTGGTGCTTTTGTAGCGGGGATCGCTGACTAGACGTTCGTAGTTGAGGAGGGTGGTGAGGGTTTGGAGGGGGATGGATTCGGGTGCCATGGTTGGTACTATGAACTGCTGTGAAATATTGAGACAGCTTGATCTCCTGGGAAGAAGAGGGGAAGAATACTGTTTGTTTATGACAGAGGAGTAGATAGAATGTATTGCCGGGCGGTGGGCGCGTTTGACATCGCGGAATCACATGTCAGGATCACATTTAGCAAACTTGGTTTGTTTGTTTGCTTGCTTGCTTGTGGTGGCAGTAGTTAATGCGGGAACAACTACCTAGAGTTATTATCACTCATTCTATGTCCTCTACTAGCACGAAGCCGCATAGATCGTTTCAAACATTAAGCCAGTTCCCTGGTGCTACGTTTTCTGGGACCTTTAGAAGACTATCCTGATCGATCCATCGATTTATCTTGCTCCACACTATACGTAAGGACATGCCAAAACTGGTGATGCAGTGAATGCGGACGGACTGTGAGTAAGATACAGTGAATAGCAGAAAAGGGAGGTTAAGTGGAGTTAGGTGAGCTTGAGGAGGAGGAGTTACAGATTGGACATACTGGTGGATATTCGTCAAGGATCAAGGAATGTAATACGATAGGAGACTAGAAAGTTGCTCTTCACTGGTATTCTCCATGCCAAAAGGTTAAAAATCCATGCTGTATAGTTTACTATCCAACTATTCTAAGTCGGTACAAGCCCATCCAACAACTTTACCTTGCTACGGCCAAGTTACTATGTTTGCCATGGCTCTATTGACTTTATATCCGACACCTCTCTCTCTCCACCACCTTTCGTGATTAATCACCGAACTCGAGACCGATAAGCTGCTGATAGTCTGGAGCCCTCATTGTGTGCATGGTGTGACAAAACCATCGGCGAAAATAGTCAAGGAGGTTATGATGGATTTTCTCTTCCGTTGTATGGCATGAGGCTTCATCTTCTTTCCTGAATGAAACAGTTCTGATAGAGTTGAGCCATAACTGTTGTTGCTGTTCGAGTGCCTGGCCGATGGTGTTGGACATCTGGGCTAGCATTTTTGATGCTGATGATGAGAAGTTTCTGGACGTGAACTATCGAATGAGACTTGCAGAATGAAGATTCAATATTTGAGAGTCTGTTGAATGCTTGGAGACAGGCTGGTTAATAATGGCAGATGTTTGTAATGCCACCAAATGATTCGGTATCGTTCTTCCATGTTTTGTTACCCTGGATTTGTGAAAAGAGACCCCAAGGAATAAAAGGAAGAAAAGAAGAAGGGAATTGGGAAAGAGTGGAACTATATCAGCTGTATGTTGTACCGCAGACCCATTTGACTCCATGTGTTGAGATTCTGCTTCAGTTTGTGACAATGAGTCCCTATTCTCTGACTCAAACCTTCATAACAAGGGCGCAACTTTGCTATCGAAGTAGAAATGTGACGCCTGTTTGTTTGAATTGATAATGTGGAATGATGTATATCTAAAAGCAACGAAGGTCACTCTTTTACGACAGAAGTTCTCGCTTCTATCATACACAAATGAACTGATTTCTTTACTAGAGGTCGTAACAACAGTTCAAACCTTTTGTTAAAGGCCTGCCATACTGCTTCGAATACGTGCCTCGATCTGCATCTCTTCCAACTTGTGTCTAGTGGCGCATCCCAAACCATGATATTCATAGTTACAAACAATCAACTTCATTCCTTTTGCAGGTGCGCTGTCGAATCTTGATCGATTGGGTTCGAGCGGCTCATGTATATCTATGATGGAGTGCCCAGCACTCATGATTGGGGATGATTAGATTATCTGAAGGTAATAGGAAACGTTAGTATCTCAACAGAGAATGAGCGTTATTTATACTCACAATAGGGGTATCATCTACGTTCTTCTCTTAATCATCGAATGTATCGAACTTCCAGGTACTGTTTTCACACTTCGCGAATTCTTCTATCTACTTTATCAAATTCCCTGAATGTTTCTTTCAAAAGAGTCCTCAGAGTTTCCTCAAAAGAGCAATCGATGACTTCGTCGGTGGTGAATAGTTCAAGTATTGGTGTTGAAAGAGAAGCGCTTGCGGTATCAAGACTCGAATTCGCTATGCTATCACGGTAAGTCGTATGCAATCAGCACCCAAATAAAAGACATAGTCAAAGCATGCCCACTATCAAGACCATTCATAGTGACCACTAGGTTATGTGATTAAAAAGTTGTGAAGAATATCACCCCAACTATCAAGTTTCGCAAAATTGAGATCATACAGACAATCACCACAAAGCAGTCGCATCTAAAGATAGAATCTCAGTGGTTATCTCTTCAGAACTGATCGACCAAAGCGAAATTCTTCCAGAGACTCCAACTTGAACATTGATTATGAATAGGGCAGCCAATGGAGCGTCTTCGTCCGACTTCGTCTAACTGATTTAGAGCTTCGTTTATCTTAGTTTAGGGGAACACATAGGACTTGGCGTGTTTTTGATAAAAATTAGCGACGTCTCTGCTCTTTTGGTGATTAGACGTTGCTAAGATGTGGTAAAGTAATTACAGAGACGGTGCCCATTCCTGGTCTGTACGTAGAATCAACTTTCTGAAGAAGTTTGTACCATGCTTTACCCTGTTAAGTGTGTGAGAATGACGAGAGATATGTTTTACAATTTAGAAAGCCTTACGTTTCCTCCGATAACGCAGCGACTACGATGTGTTAGCCAATAGAAGTTTTCACTGCCCGTCTGGTGGATCAACCTCTCTCTTCATTCACCTTTCAACGCTAGACGTTCAATTACAGACGATATCAAAGATACCAAGAACATTAGAAGTGTATGGGAAAAACCAACTGTATGAACTTCATCGAGAAGTCTGTCGACAGCTTACAGAAAAGTGCACCTGGTATTTAGATTGCTAATCAAGATAGATATATCGAATGAGCTTGAAGACAATGTTGATATCATTGTCTACATGAGGAACCCGGGCTTTCTAGCATCGTGTATATTTGAGGTGATGGTTATCTTTCAATATTCAAGTAATCCTTGTACTACACTAGGACTATACCGTCTCTGCATTTGAAAGTTGAGTGGTCGTCAGCGGCGGCTTTAGATTTCAAAGTGTTTCCCAGAGAAATGCTTCTCAAGAGCAAGTACTGGGAGCTTCTAAATTAGAACCACAGTATATCTTCCAGGGAGGGATGGGGAAGGGAGGGGGCGATAGATTACTAGAACACCATGAATCTCTTCTAAGACAAATAAAGAGCTGCAATTCGCTCCCGCCTTGAAAACTTTTCGGGTGCTAAAAGCTCCGACCAAAGAACCCGTCGAACAACGATTATCGGGGAACGATTATCAGGGGGAACTTGGGCAGACCACCGCAACGGAGCACGAAATACATGGTGGCCTTGACTTGAAGAAAAAATTGCTGGGTCGTTATCGCAAAATCCTTGCTGAGTCTCAAAATGTGTTCAATTCCGGATGACTTGCGATGGCCACTGAGTCGGGTAAATTAGCAGGAGCAACTGCTATGTAGATATGATCCAGGCAATTCAGAAGGAGGGGGATAAGCCGCAATCTCCACAAAGTCTAGGAATCCATAGTCAATCTATCCTATGGGTTGAAGTCTGACTCAGTTCATCCAAATTCACCCGATGCAATGGTCGTTCTTTCACCGTATAGTCACCGTATAGTACTATATGGTGATTGGAAAATGTTGCGATTGAACTGTAAATAGCAATTAACTTTTCCGATAAATTAATAAGCGCGTCATGTATATATCAAAGTTCTATCTACTCTCACTTTAGTAATATTTGAGAGCGTAACCTCATCACGATTCTATAGATTCTGTAAATCTGATGCATGAACCTAATCCATATTCGGCCTTTGATGAAGCTACAACCTGTCAAATTTCTTGAGCATAGGTGTTTACAACGTCTTCGAGAAAGCTATGATGACCAAAAATTACGAGATCATCCCTTTTTAATATTCAAGTGAGAACGTGTCGGAGTTTTTACAATGCTCGTGCGGCCAGAAGGTATGCAACACTCCACCTTCAAAAATCAGGTTAGTCCTCATGTAGTCTACCATCTTGTGGTATGTGCATCTATGCGAAGTGTTGCATATATACTTCCTAGCAGCACGAGTACATCGCATGTCAAAAGGCTTGTATAAAAGATTGAGTGTGATATGAAATCTAGAAGCATACAAAGCGGGAAAAAGTAATATAGATTAGCGGCCAGCCTGCCACATGGGATAAAGAAAAGTAAAAACAGTCGCTGTGTCGCTAGGGGTATTTTGGTGCAACTAGACACGGAGTAATCCGTCTACAGGGCCAGGGCTTACCCAGTTCGCATTCTCGCTTAGGGGTGGATATACAGGGCACACCTATACGGACCCATATATTCGACACCTCTACACCCATCCACACGGTTCGTCCGTTTAGTAATCTTTGCCAATCCTCAATAGCAGAATGATATCATTTGATGCTTCAGTCCTTACAATCATGCATATATAACTAATTATAATTGACTATGTAACCTTCTTCATTTGTTCAGCCCACCGAGCCCAAAACTTTCATTCCAAACGTAGTCGTTTTGGGGGGAAGGAATCCGGGGCAACTTCCTATAAGAAGAAAGATCGCTTGAAAAATATCGATTCCAACCTTGTCGACGCGTGTGGTTGCTTTTCTGTCCGGGGAAGTGAAACATGTCGCCGGCACTGTACCGAAGATTTACAGTGCCTCAAAAGCCTGTCATTGGGGATTCTACCGGGTGCTTATCGGTATCTTGCCGGCATGTTATGATTTAGAGTTTTTTAGAAACTCTAAACGTCCAAATTAAATGCATCCCCTTGTCTAACGAACTCTTCAAGATGGGATGGTCAAATAGGGATCCTCTTATTCCTCCAAAAGGAATCACTTTGGGATATATGTTATTTACATAATCTCCACAACATAAAAGTTTACTTCAATTATGTCTTTCCTTAGTTGTTTCCGCTTTGAATTCTCTAAATTGACTCCTGAAGATCGTCGTTGAACCACGTTATAGAAGGTCTGGTAGTCTCCTGACTCTTCTCTCCTTTAGACAAATCCATTTGCCCAAGGAGTCCGCCATGTCTCTAACATACGAGCAATACAATGCGGTTGATATCACAGAGAGAGTTACGTCAGCCGTTTCTATCATTGGTAATCTATTCATAGTTATCACATACTTTTTTTGTTCATCCTTCGACAAACCAATCAATCGACTCATTTTTTTCGCATCATGGGGAAATATTGGTTCGAGTATCTCGTGCCTGATATCTGAGCTTGGTCCGGCATCATTGATGGATAGAGCGAAATTCGATGCCTCCGGAATATGTCAGGTCCAAGGTTTCTTGGTGCAGATGTTCCGTGGAGTTGATTGTTACTGGGCATTCTTCATGGCCATCAACGTATACCTCATTTTCTTCAAGGGATATACCACACATCAATTAAGAAAGTTGGATATTTGGTACTTGGTTGCATGCTATGGGCTTTCCTTCATACCCGCTTTTGTATTCTTATTTGTATCGACAAAATCGCGAGGTCGTATTTACGGATCAGCTATTGTTTGGTGCTGGATTAGCGAAGATTGGGATTGGATGCGGTTGGTTTTCTTGTATGTTATTGTATGGTGAGTACTGCGATCCGAGCTTCTAACGTCCTTCTCAAATTTGATCACGTTTACTGATCCGATGTCCATTAGGATTACTATCCTCTTCGCTTTCATCGTATACGTTATGGCCGCCAAAGTAATCTGGTCCAAACGTGAACATCTAAACGGCTTCCTCAACCCCATGAACGAGAACCCATTCGCAAATACCATCACGACTGAAATCGAAATAACCTACGAAGAACGATCCATCGTCAAAGATGCCGGCGATCAAGGTGTTTCTGAAAGCGCATTGCACTCGGATCAATATGAAGTAGAAATTCAAGCGACACCTCAACAAAAACAACAAGAATCCCAGGTGTATCAGATGCGAAGAATGAGAAGTTTGACTAGAGAGGTTGCAGAGTCTGGAACCAATCCCGAGGCTTGGCTGTATGCGCGAGTGGCTATCCTTTTCTTTCTTGCTATGATTATTACTTGGGTTCCCGCGAGCGTCAATAGAATTTGGCAAATGGCGGATCCGTCGACGGTTAATTTCCCGTTGAACTACATTGAATCATTAATGTTGTCGCTACAGGGTGTTTGGAATGTGATTGTGTATGTCATTACATCCCAGACGGCTTGTCAAAGGTTGGCATATCGATTGTTCTCAAGAAGCTCGAGGACGAAGACGAGGCTGCCCAGCGGGAGTCCCGAGAGGTATCCATCAGGTGGAAAGCAAAGGCTTGAGAGCGTTGCTAGTAAATGATTGGAAATTGGGTGCTATGTAGCTTCGCTTATTAACTGTATTAATTGTAAATAAGGAACTTTTCATTCTAACGATCTATTCATACTCATGATTTTCGAAATATTTACAAGACCCTGCAACGCCTATAAACCTTAACTCGGCCACTCGTACCTCATAATTCATATCTAAAATCTCAAATCCCATCCGATTGTTGGACCCAACTTGGGTAATTCCTCTGCGACACTCTGTACATCCTTATCACCCCTACCACTTAAACAAATAACGATATCTTGATCTTTGCTCATGGTTTTTGCCAATTCTACTCCTCCCCATACTGCATGCGCAGTTTCCAAAGCAGGTATGATACCCTCTTTCTCACTGATCAGTCTGAATCCTTTGAATGCCTCGGCATCGGTGGCCGCAATAAACCTCGCACGCTCAGTATCTTTCCAATTACTTAATTCTGGTCCAACACCAGGGTAATCTAAACCAGCAGATACGGAATGAGTCTCTGAGATTTGTCCATGTTTGTCCTGGAGGACATATGTACGGACACCATGTAGAACACCCTTCGTACCGCCAGTCAGAGTAGCGGAGTGGCGATCTGTATCTAAACCATCACCACCGGCCTCAACACCAACTAGTTTGACACTTGGGTCTTTTGAGAATGGGTAGAACATGCCAACCGCATTACTACCACCTCCAACGCATGCAACGACAGCATCAGGGAGTTTACCACGCTTCTCTAGCATTTGAGCTCGAGTTTCGTTGCCGATAACGGATTGAAATGTTCTGACGATAGTTGGGAATGGGTGAGGACCAATTGCTGAGCCAATGATGTAATGAGTAGTGTCAAGCTTGACGACCCAAGAGCGCATAGCTTCATTAACAGCATCTCGAAGTGTACGCGAACCAGCTTCGACGGCGACAACAGATGCACCAAGAAGCTTAATTCGGAAAACATTGAGAGCTTGTCTTCTTACGTCTTCCTGTAAATTTTATTAGTGCTGTAACGAAGAATCTAAGAGAACACCCAATAGAAGCGAAAAAAAAAGATTGTTCAAACTTACAGCTCCCATGTAAATGGTACATTTCATACCAAACTTTGCGCACACAGTCGCTGTGGCCACACCGTGCTGTCCTGCACCAGTCTCTGCGATAATCTCAGTCTTTCCTAATCGTCGAGCAAGAAGGATTTGTCCTAAAGCATTGTTGATCTTGTGACTTCCGGTATGGTTCAGATCTTCTCTCTTCAACCAGATCTTTGCACCACCAGCGTATTCAGTGAGTCTTTCAGCCTCATGTAATTGACCTGGTCGTCCCATCCACGGATAATATGTTCGGTATTCTTCCCAGAATGCTGGATCGTCCTTGATTGCATTGAAACCTGCTTCAAGCTCTGATAAACAATCCATAAGCGCCTCTGGTACGTATTGTCCACCAAATTCTCCAAATTTTTGAGATGCAATTTTTGGATCTATGGGGCCATTGGTATTTAAGGCCTCGATCTGATCAGCTAAACCGGGTCCTGATCTGTCTTCGTCTCTAACAACGGCATCGACAGTAACATTCTCTCCGCTGGGCTCTTGGGCAACACCCATTGTCTCGGCCATTCCAACCTCTCTAGTCAGACTCTCACCCTCACTTGGAGCACCCCTTCTCCCACAAACTTCCGCACAGTATTCTTCGACACTTTTTGCGATGTTTCCGGCAGGTGCTTGATTGACGGTGTTGATGATTTGACTTCCGATAACAACTCCATCGGCGATTTTTGCGACCTGTAAGAAATGGTCTCTTGTGCTAACACCGAATCCTACAGCGGCTGGAACGTTTCCTGAGTATTCTTTGACTCTTTTCAATAAACCTTCCAAACCAGCGTCCATCGAACCTCCCGTGGCTCCAGTAACACCCATTCTTGAAACAACATATATGAAAGAGTCTGCAAGCTTGCACAGAAGCTTCATTCGGGATTCGGAAGTCGAAGGAGCGATGAGAGGAACGTAGGATAATCTGTTGAACAAAAATTGTGAGCCATATATTCAAACGCGACATATCAATGCTCCCCTGAAAAACTCACCCTCCGCTTGTGCAAAACTTTCTGAAGCTCACTGCCTCTTCTGGTGGAAGATCACAGACGATGAATCCATTGACACCAGCTTCTCGGCAGTCCTTTAATAATCTTTCCTCTCCGTAACTCAGGAAAGGGTTGTAGTAACCCATGAAAAGAACCGGAGCTCTTAATCCCTTCTTTCTTGCATCCCGTACCATTTGTAAAACCGAAGTAACTGTTATTCCATTCTTCAAAGCTTGAGTATTTGCTTTTTGAATCGTAGGTCCATCCGCAGTAGGATCTGTGAACGGAATACCTAATTCAATAACATCTGCGAACAACTGTCAACTTCCACACAGTCAATTGGAGATGAAGTGTCACTTACCGGCACCACCAGCCTCCATCCCCAATAGAATATCAACAGTATCATGTGCTTGAGGGAAGCCAGCAGTGATGTATGTTACCAATGCGGATCTTCCTTCTTTCTTGCATTGTGCAAATGTCCTCTTTAGATGATCCATTTTGAATTATAGAACGATATGTATGTAATGAGGCGTTGTGGGAAGAAGGAAGTATAAGAGAAGGGGGGAGAGATGACGATTGATATATGAATGAATTTTTTTAAAATAGTCTCCGAGTAGGATTCCTTTCTTGTATATATATAATTCTTATTGATCACCCAAAAAAGTGAGTCAAAACCGTCGCCCCTCACTAGTTATCGCTCAATTGAGTCACCGCCTTGGCAAAATCTCGCATTCTCTTGCCAGTTGAATATTTAATTTCGTCATGACCTGCTCGGGTATCATTCAATATTAATCTCCTTCTCCTTGCCACAACATAATCCGGCTGATATAGAAAACAATTGTCCGTGAACAACCGATTCAAACACCTTACACTGGAATCGACATTTAATTCCTCCTATCATTCAGTCCACGAGCTTCCTAATTGAACAACAATCAAAAATGTCTCGACTTTTACCGGCAAGATTTCTCCTTCCTTCCCGCCGCTTCTTCTCTCAAACTACTTCTCGAACAGCATTCGCAACGGGTCCAGCCCCGCCACGCTTGCCACCAAAGGAACAAGAAGAATTTGAACGTCTGCAGCGCTCCTCTACTGGTGCATTTAGTACCCCGAAAACTGAAGTCGTTACCAACACATTGAAGTCATCAACGCGAACAAGACCACAAATAAATCAATCACCTGCAACCACTGCTGCCGAAAAGGAGGATATAGAATTGGCTGCTGTAAATGCTAGGGTATCTGCTACAGGCAAAGGAGAGGAATTGCATCCGGATATTCGTAGAGGTGCAAGGCCAGAATTTGAAGGCGATATCAATCCAAAGACTGGAGAGGTTGGTGGTCCAAAGAATGAACCTTTGAGGTGGGGAAGTTCAGGTGAGAGGGGCGACTGGAGTTATAATGGTAGGGTTACGGACTTTTGAATCCTGTCAGAATGGGTTGCAGATTTGAGAAGAATGTACGAACAAATTTGAATGACATGGTTACATGATGCAGTTTAAGAGCTGCTATTCAAGTCAACTTCTACTTCAAAATGAAACCTGTTGTGAAATTTGGCTTCACAAGGAACTATGAAAAAAATGTCTTAGTGGATATTCCCTCTCTCAAACAATCATCTCTTCATTATCTTCAAAATGGCAAGTCTTCGTACTGCTCTGTTTCCTACCCTTTCTCATGATCACATTCTTCCTTGCTCTTATTTATATGTACAGGAAGAAAGCAATACATCTACTTTTGCATAGGTAATATACACAGGAAGTATCTTTGTGTGCGACGACAGCAACCATTCTAGCAGTTTGTATTGTTTCTCGAAGAAATGACATGGTCTTATAATTGAACATGCAGGTAATATGCTTCTTGGTTGTGACCTTTTGTCTACTATATCTTATTGATACAAGGCCTCAAAACTGTGATTGTTGTGAATATCTGTGTGAAATTTGATAAATACATTAACCTTCTGGTGAGAAAAAGGGAGCCTCGCTTATCTTCCTAACAAATAATGAAAGTCAATTGACTGATGCTCTATTGTTCATTGCTATACTTTGACTCAAAGTTCTATGCTGGAGTGCAAAGGTTAAAGTGCCTTTGTTATGAATTATTGCCGGATATGGGGTCTTGTTGCCAACTCCTTTCATGTTTCCACTTCATGTGATTTCTTTTATTGATCTGGAATTTGGCTGTTCTATCCGATCCTTGATTTTAGTATACGCTCGTTTCCTTTTGTGCTATCTCCTTGTATATGTTCCAGATCACACAGAGAAAATAATTTGGCATTGAAGAAAACATTCGAAATTCAATCTTTCCAATTAGTGTCCGAGATGGCCCATCCTAGTGAAAAGACTGAAGCTGAAAAGCTTGCAGGCATGTTAGCTATACATGCGGAAATGACTCACGGGTGGAAAGCATCAAAATTTCACGCTTTTCAAAAAGAATGGGTGGAAAAAACGATATTTCCCCTGAAGTTAGTAGTGGATTCAGCGTTATCTATGGGTGTTGGATCGATCCAGGGTGAGCCAAATGGATCTTACAAGTATGATGAAAATTACGGTTCGCGAGATGAGGAAAGAGGCACAGATATTTACAATCTTTCTCAAATAGTTGGCTTTGAATGTTGGATTGATATTTTGAGTAAGTATTTTGTTTTTGGATTTCTAATTCATCCGCCCTCTCAACCCCTCTCGGGAAACACATAAATAATATCTTGCAGGGCAAAGATTCGATATTCCACCAAGTAAAGTGTACTTTCAGGATCCGGGTTTCACCGATCTCGAAAAATTATTCATCACTTCACTCGGCCATACAGTATTAGAACACCCCCAAGCATACAAAATACTCACACGACGAACATTTCTCTGTTCTTGTCGCCTATACAAAGATGTTGTGGCAGCTTGCTTTAGCGCTGCCATGCCGGACCTGGCTGTTATGTCACCGCTTTGGATGGATAGTAAGTAAAAAGCCTTTACATTATTCTACACTCGAGACCGTGTACTGGATTGTTCATAATGTAGTCCTGCAAGGCTGGATTTTCATTTTTGAACCCTCTACATTGAACCTGCTTAGAACAATAAATTTGTTGGGGGTTTTTAGTTTATCATCAATGACCTAGAGCGTAACGCAACACTGGAAGCTTTCCACCCCGAAATGCATTTCGTAGTGATTGAGTCTTCTACGCAGTATCAGAGTTTGAAGGGATCAAAATCTTCACTCACCATTACCAATGTTTGAGAAACTGCATAAATTGATTGATGATTCGTAGGCTGGGTAACATCGCCATACTTCGAGGCGGGACCATATTATAACAGGTTAGTGTTTCCATAAATCACGTATGTGGCCGAGGTTAATTGAACAACATAGAATGAGGCGAACTATCCGTCGGTACGCCAGGACACACCTTAGCCAAAAGCAAGGCCCAATCTTTGAACGCACTCGCGACGCAGATCTCAGGGATTTGAGTATAGACAGACTGGTGCATAGCTGGCTGCAAGATGTGGAGTGGTATTGGACGCCGGATGATTTGAGTGTAATAGGGGATATAGGCGAACCGATAGATCAAGATGTGTGGCGTTTCTTACCGGGAATATATGGAGTGATAGATTCGCTGGGAGGAGGGATGAAGTATGTGGAGACGGCTATAGAAAAACATAGGAAGCGTCGCGAGGATAGCCCATTGAGTGAGATATCTAGTGGTTCTGAGTGGGAATATGAGGGGAAAGAAGATGAATCAGAGCCGGAACCAGAACCAGAACCAGAACCAGAACCAGAACCGAAACCAGAACCGAAACCAGATAAACCATTGCCATCTCAAAAAATAATTCCCAGGTCCCCTCCCTATCGTGATAGGTACCACGGTAATAAAAGACGGCTGACACGAATAAGAAAGCTACGGACATATCGCGATGATGGCACGGTAAACTTTCTATGATGTCTTCTGATCGTAGCATGGGAGGTTGAAGTTTCTTGAAGGGTTAGTGTTGTTGTAGATTTCTATAGGGTTATATTGTTGGTTTACTAGTTTTGGGATACTTGGGAGAGGGATTTATTGAGCTCGATCTTGGGAGTTTCAGGTAGTGAGTGGTCTGGAGTAGTGATCTGGATATATTGCCGCTTTGTGTATACTTTTATGCACCTAGATAGTTGCTTTGATATTGAATTTATTGGGATTTATACATAGTGGCTAGTAGCTACTTTATTTTTTTTAATATTTATTCTATGAATCTGTGTTGTCATCTCAAAATAATATATATTTACTATCAATAAGATACTTCCTAGTATCTTCCATTTCCATCTTCAACTTCATACACATACAGGTCATTTCCTTTAACATTACACGACAATCCCTCGCAAGTCGAAACTCACCGCACACTCACTCAACATATACTTACCACTCAAACTTACCACTCAGCACCCAAACTCACCACTCACATCTCACATCTCACTGCACACTCACCACTAAGTCTCCGCCATCTCACAAACCTCGCACCAGAGAACCTTACTAGATACTCAAGCAAACTATATATAGCCATTTACTCACTATCTAAGTATCTGACCATCTACGTATATATACCCATCATTCTCCACACCCTATCTCTCTCTCTATCTCTCTCTCCATAAAAACATGAAATACATCTTTGATATCATTTTTTAATTCTGTTCTTCCATGTATTCTTTTGAAGTATCGTTTATTCTTATTAATTATCTTGAATCCTTATTGGCTATCTATACTACCTACTCAAGTCCCAACTGGACATCACACTACATATCTAAGATATTATAGGGAATCTGTACAATGGTAGGTTTCACTCCCAGGAAATTTCTTCACCGTGCATATTTCATATCGTGTTGATTTACATCCATCTCATACCACCCCATCTAACCCGCCACATTTTCCGCAACCCTCACCCCATCCCTCCTCACCTTCCCCTGTGCCCTCTCCCCTTCCTCCCCATTACCCCCATCCCCAAACAAACCCCCCAAAGCCTCAACCCCCACATTCCCCCACTAAAAACCACTCCCACATCCCACCCCCTCTCCCCCGCTTCCCTCTCCACCACCCCCCTAAACCCCTCATGAAACAACACCGTCGCAAGCCCCACACACGCACTCGGTTCCACCACAACCTTCATCCTCTCAACCACCAACCTCATCGCCTTCTTAATCTGCTCCTCCGTCACACTAAACATACCCTCCACCAATCTCCTCTCAAAAATAACACTCCACGGAATCTTCCCCACCGGCGTGCGCAACCCATCCGCAATCGTGAGACTCTTCACACTTTCAATTCTCTTCCCCTGTTCGAAACCGCGCCGTCCATCATCCGCGCCCTGAAACTCGGGTTCCGCGCCAAATACTCGGATTCCTCTTCCTTCGCACGAAAGCGCAACGCCTGATAACATACCCCCGCCTCCACAAGGAGTAATAATCGCATCTAATCCTTTTGTCTCCTGGCCACCTTGATTGCCTGTGCCTCTTTCACTTTGTAATTGCCTAACCTGTTCTGCCAATTCCAGACCCATGGTTCCTTGCCCAGCAATAATATCCGGATGATCGTATGGCGGCACAAGTTTTGCGCCTGTTTCCTTCATAACCTCTTCAACCATTGCTTCTCGCTCTACTGATGTTGACCCGCTGAATCTAACATTTGCGCCGTAACCTTTGGTCGCGGCTATTTTTGAGGGTGTCGAGATGGTGGGCATGACGATGTGGGCTGGGATGCCGAGTTCACGGGCTGCGAGTGCGAGGGCTTGTGCGTGGTTTCCTGTCATTGGTGTCATGTTAGCATCTTTAGCCTCCAGAAATCGTTGGCAGATTAGAAGAAAGTCAGAGATGAGAATAATAGTAAGAGAACAATTCACAAGCTGAGAAAAAGTTGAAAAAAAAAATCAGTGAACAAACCACTGCTATGTGTAACCACACCCTTCTGTCTCCAACCTCCTTCTCCATGCCCAGCTTCAACTCCTCCTTCTGCCTCCTCTAACCTCTTCAGTGCATGAAAAGCCCCTCTAACTTTGAATGCGCCCACCCTCTGTAGATTCTCACATTTAAACCATAGTCTAATTTTCGGTCTCGCAGGTTCCTTTCCTTCCCACTCTGTCCCTTTCAAGGCCTCCGCAGTCTGTGGTGTACTCGCTATTTCGTCAATTGTCCTATTTGTCAGAACTGGGGTATAATGAATATGCGATTTAATAAGTTCGTGAGCATCCAGAACCGATTGGCGATTAAGCGGGAGACGAGTGTTGGGATCTGCCATTGTGAGTTCTGCTCTAAATTGAATACACTTGTAAATGTGTTAACATGAATTGGAATTAAATTGCAATGTCAAGGAAGGGTGCAGCTGCTAACCATATAGCATAATTAATATGGTGGGGGCGGGGCATTGCCCGGATGATTCATATAAAAATGAGACCCTGGTTTGGTGAGTTCCATGCCGATCTCGGCTGAACAGGGAAGTATGAACAAGTGCACAAGTATGGTCAATTATAAAAACAATTGGAAATATAATTTTTTTGAATTCAATGGCTTAAACTTTTAATTCCAGATACCGTTGATTAAAAAAACGGAAAGTCATGAGAGTATGATACAATTGGCCCAATTTCAAATATGCAACTCCAGCCCCACGGCCCCATTAACTATCCATTTAGTTGTTTTCAGGACGGAGGGAACTAATAGAAATGTTAGTGGTTGTAGAACATGTAGTGATGGACGATTGAAACTTACCGAACAGCCTTTCCTGCTCTCCAGATCTCCAAGTCACGGATCTCCTTCATCTCAGCCTCATACTTCTCACGGTAATCCTTTTGGGAGTTGAACTCAAGGGATCTTTGAGTCTCCTTTCCGGTCTTGACGGAGTCATACAAGTCGTTGAAGACTGGCTTCAAAGCATCCTTGAACTTTCCGGACCAATCGATAGCACCACGACGAGCAGTGGTAGAGCAAGCCTCGTACATCCAGTCCATGCCGTTGGCACCGATCAATGGGTACAAAGATTGAGTAGCCTCCTCAACAGTCTCGTTGAAAGCTTCACTTGGGCTGTGACCTTGCTCACGGAGAACCTCGTATTGTGCGAGGAACATACCGTGGATACCACCCATCAAGCAACCACGCTCACCGTACAAGTCAGAGTAAACTTCCTTCTCGAAGGTGGTCTCGTAAAGGTATCCAGATCCAACACCGACACCGAGAGCGATGGCCTTCTCTTGTGCCTTACCGGTAACATCTTGGAAAACGGCGATGGAAGAGTTGATACCACGACCCTCACGGAAGAGAGTTCGGACGGTACGTCCAGATCCCTTTGGTGCAACGAGGATGACATCAACGTCAGTTGGGACATCGACCTTGGTTTGGTCCTTGAAGACTGGGGAGAAACCGTGGGAGAAGTAAAGAGTCTGCAAAAGTCAGTTTTGAACTTGGGAAACTTGAATCTATGTCCATACCTTTCCCTTGGTGATCTGGGGCTTAAGTGCTGGCCAAGTTTCACTTTGAGCAGCATCAGAAAGCAAGTTCATGATGATGGTACCCTTGGAGATAGCCTCATCAACCTCGAAGAGGTTCTTTCCTGGAACCCAACCATCTTGTTGAGCATCCTTCCATGATTGACCGTTCTTTCGTACACCGACTACGACGTTAAGACCGTTATCACGCATGTTCAAAGATTGAGCATGTCCTTGGGAACCGTAACCAATAATGGCCATTGTGTCATTCTTGAAGTATTCCTGGAAGATAGATATTAGCAAAAGTCAATGTTAAAGGTTATAAATTGTGAATCATGCCTGGAGTCTCTCAACTGGCCAGTCGGCTCTCTCTATTAAAGTTGTCAGTTTCCATCAACATCCAAATTGAAGCCTGAATGCATACCGTAAACCTTCTCCTTTGTGCCAGCAAAGTCAATGGTCTTTACACCTCTGACTTGTTGGGAAGCTCCAACAACAGCACGAGCAGCAGAAGGTCTGGCTGAGGCATTGATAGCAGAGACAAAGGTTCTGCGTGCTGGTGCAGTCAATTGACGTGCAACTGGTCTAGCGACTCTGGAAAATGTACGGGCAGCCATTTTGAAGGAAGAAGTGAGTGGAGTTCAAAGAAAAAGGAAGAGTAACAAAAGGGTATTTTGAGGTTTAAATCAAAAAGTTGTAGATGTGACTCTTCGTCTTTTTGTTGTGGGCAACAGTAGCTAGGAAATTTTCCTGCCCGGTTCCGGAGGTACCTTTGACAGGGGTATTCTCCAGTATCGCACTTTCTGTGGGTGGGAAAGTCTTGGCAAGCCAACAGTGCGGGTTGTATTTCAATGTGAATATCATCCAATGAAATTGTTGATTTTGGCTTGTGGAAAGTGAAAATAGTTTGCGTGTACATGCATCTTAAAACCGAACTCAATTTGGTAAATTATTAAACTTTACCAAAACTTTAAATATGTGTAAATATGTGTAAATATTATTATATTGTTCGACTTTCCTCTACCTCAATAGCTACCTATGCCTATACACACATGTAGCCACTCTCGTCCTCATCAATCGTACCTAGATAGGTAGTTACGTTTCGAAATTATATATACAAAATCCGACAATCTAGATCATCTATCTATCCGAAAGGAAAGGAAGGCTATAGTGGAAATTCGGCCACATCACAGCCTCACCCACCCCTCCGGTATTGTTCCGGCCACGGTCCAAGCCGTGAAATAGCTTGTATTAGTTTACAAATGATTGACTACAAGAAACTGGCCTCGCGTGCTCCGACTTGCCTAGTATACCCCGATATATGAATTTACAACAGTAGTGGAGATAGATAGATGAAGTTACCAAGTTGAATGTTTCCATTTACAAATATGACTCCTTCGCTATGCCTCCATATATCGGAGAAATCGTAATACTCGCTCCTATACTCTAGGGGTTGACATCAGAATCAGATGTGCTCACGAAATGACGCTCCGGTAGTCCTCCGGTAGTCATTGCTCTGCAGGTTTTACTCCCCTTTGCTTGAAGTTGGAAAGATATCTGTTTGTATGTATTCATTCATTGTTTTGACCCCATTGACTACTTCCCCCTTACTCTTGGGCCCAAACACAATGTATCCTTTCTACAGCCACAACACACAGTCTGATATAAGATCAGCAGCCAAAAAGGCTACATGAAAGGTTCTCGATCTCCAAATAGAAAAAAACGCCCATTATGTCCCCGTCCTCATGTTGTGACCTTACACATTGGTGCGTGGTGCTGGAAATGTAGTACTGGTCCAGATCGTATAACCCTATCTTGACATCGTTTGTATTGTTGCATAATGCATATTGAAAGCATAGTAAATGTTTAATCCACATGCCTTCTCCCTTCAAACCTTCAATACTCTATCGAATGAATCATTCTTTACAGATCCACCTCCCATAGCAGATCTCACGTTCCGCTTGAATCCCTCTCGGTTTGATCTCAAATCCTCTGCAGCTTCCTTATTAAGTGGATCCGAGGCGTTTGGTTCGAGGAAAAGGAACTGTTCATCCAGTCGTCAGTATAAAGTAGTTTCGCAGACCAGGGACATCATATATATCCAAGGAAACCGCTTCTCAAATCATACCTGCAATCCTATAACAATCGCTTGCAAGTTCAACACTGGTTTCCAGTCCTCCCTCAGAATATTCAAACAAATCTTTCCCTCAACATCGATATTTGGGTGATAGATCTTCTGTTCACAGTTGACCTTGGGCGGTTCGTGTGGGAACGTTTCCGGAACAGCGAATTTGAATTTGAAGATTCCACCCTTGTACATGCCTTCATCTGGTTCGATATATAGAAAGAAATTGAGAATATCGTCTTCGTCGGGAAAATCGGTACGCATAGTAGAGGGCAGCGACATTTCAGCAATATCTGGCAGCGCGCGATGTTAGTCCTCATACATGCATGCCCAGTACAATCTCATTCTGTGCCCTTCCGTATACGCTCAAGGGCCGGGAATCTGTTCCTCTTACCTTTCTGCAATCTAAGTTGTGCGGCCGTAACCTTCTTCTTCTTAATGCCCGCAGCAGCATCGGCATTTGCCTCTTGCTGCTGTTTTTGTTTCTGCGTACAATATCAGTATTCCGAACGCGTTACACATCGTTGCCGGAATCCCAGTTCTGATGCGCACATACCATAGACCATATCTTCAACATCTTGATTGTTGATGACTCTTAACTGGAGTGTTGAGAGTGCAATTTTGGAGTTGGGAAGTTGAGAATTATATTGTAGGTATTGAAATAATGTTTGAGAAATGACGTTTAACAATGAGAGAAGAGTAAGCGAGAGGGTCGTTTTGTACCCAGTTATGAAAGTATAGGAACTTGGAGAAAGTGAACAGCTGCTCCAGTCTGTTGTATCAAAATTATAGAATGTTGCGCCTTGTCAAATATACAATAATACGGCAGCTACAGTAGGGATTTTTGGTTGCTGACGCCTTGCCGAAAGATACGAGGCGGGCTGGCGGACTGGCGGACTGGCGGGCTGGCGGGGTTCGATTTCTTATCAAAGGCATCACGCGAGTGGCCAACCCAATTTGTGCCACACATAAGTTCTGAATCAAATTTCTCATATAGTTTGCTACAGTGCACATTGAATTTTTGATGAGGTAACATCTGACTCAATAGATACGAATGGTTGTTCATTCATAAGGGTATTCAATAGTATTAAACGGAAACGCCTACTCAAACATGCAATATAGAGAGACCGCCTAGGAAGAAGAAAAAAATCTCAAAGCTCCCATATGTGCAAGCAAAAATGCAAAAATGGTTGCTTGCTGTAGATTCACGCGCTGATTCCTTTCCAATGATAGGTGCTCACGCTCCGTATAAAGGGTCCATCCTCCTCTCCACCCCCCCAATTTTTTGAAAACGAAACATTTATTACTCGTGACCTTTTAGTGGTACGAGTACCGATATTTGTTTCTAGAGTATGTATGGTGTAAGTCTTGTCTAACGTCTCATGAAGCAGCACATGATACCAGACTTGAACAAGAAGTAAGAACATCCGAGGAATCTAACAAGCGCCAAGAAAGCCGTTGAGTAAAGCAGGACTTCGAAGAACTTGGCAGTTCTTATTGATGCAGTATTCTGAACATAATGTTAGCTGGAAAATTCAAACTATTGTGGGCATAGAATAACTCACTCCGAAACCAAATCCATCAACACTGTCACTCGTGATAGCAACAGCCAACAATGCGTTTGAGAATACCCAAGAGATCAAAAGCTTGGTTCTGAAAGATTTGTAAGAATCCTCCAAGGTCTTGCTCTCATCT